TAAAACCTTATCAAGTTTACTACATGTTCCTAATTATAAAACATGTAGTTAAATTTTCTAATCACACTTAGTGATTTAATGCTTAACTTTTGCTAACATGTGCTAGCCTAGGTTTTGATGCTCCATTGTATAATTGTTTGATCATGTCTATTTTATGTCAGGGGCTCGGATTTATTTTAGAGTGTTCAGATTTATTTGAGGGAGTTGTTACTTTTCTTTTGAGAGCATTCTAATTTATTTAAGGGCATCCTTATTGCAGGCAAAAGATGATTGTAGTATGAATTAAAATATATCATTTTTTAGTATGTGTCCTGTTGTAATTTTAATTGTCTAATGAGTACAACTACTGTCAATCATATATAATGAATGGCTCATCAGTAAGAGAGGGTCTGAAGTGTACAGACAAACTGAGTGTGTATCCATTGTGTTAGGAGGGTCTGTAGTGTACAGACAAACTGAGAGTGTATCCATTGTGTTGGGAGGGTCTGTAGTGTACAGACAAACTGAGAGTGTATCCATTNCTATGTAGTATATATACCTTACATACTGGTCAGTAGATCAGAGACCTAACATGTAGTATATATACATTACATACTGGTCAGTAGATCAGAGACCTAACATGTAGTATATATACATTACATACTGGTCAGTAGATCAGAGACATAACATGTAGTATATATACATTACATACTGGTCAGTAGATCAGAGACATAACATGTAGTATATATACATTACATACTGGTCAGTAGATCAGAGACATAACATGTAGTATATATACATTACATACTGGTCAGTAGATCAGAGACATAACATGTAGTATATATACATTACATACTGGTCAGTAGATCAGAGACATAACATGTAGTATATATACATTACATACTGGTCAGTAGATCAGAGACATAACATGTAGTATATATACATTACATACTGGTCAGTAGATCAGAGACATAACATGTAGTATATATACATTACATACTGGTCAGTAGATCAGAGACATAACATGTAGTATATATACATTACATACTGGTCAGTAGATCAGAGACATAACATGTAGTATATATACATTACATACTGGTCAGTAGATCAGAGACATAACATGTAGTATATATACATTACATACTGGTCAGTAGATCAGAGACATAACATGTAGTATATATACATTACATACTGGTCAGTAGATCAGAGACATAACATGTAGTATATATACATTACATACTGGTCAGTAGATCAGAGACATAACATGTAGTATATATACATTACATACTGGTCAGTAGATCAGAGACATAACATGTAGTATATATACATTACATACTGGTCAGTAGATCAGAGACATAACATGTAGTATATATACATTACATACTGGTCAGTAGATCAGAGACATAACATGTAGTATATATACATTACATACTGGTCAGTAGATCAGAGACATAACATGTAGTATATATACATTACATACTGGTCAGTAGATCAGAGACATAACATGTAGTATATATACATTACATACTGGTCAGTAGATCAGAGACATAACATGTAGTATATATACATTACATACTGGTCAGTAGATCAGAGACATAACATGTAGTATATATACATTACATACTGGTCAGTAGATCAGAGACATAACATGTAGTATATATACATTACATACTGGTCAGTAGATCAGAGACATAACATGTAGTATATATACATTACATACTGGTCAGTAGATCAGAGACATAACATGTAGTATATATACATTACATACTGGTCAGTAGATCAGAGACATAACATGTAGTATATATACATTACATACTGGTCAGTAGATCAGAGACATAACATGTAGTATATATACATTACATACTGGTCAGTAGATCAGAGACATAACATGTAGTATATATACATTACATACTGGTCAGTAGATCAGAGACATAACATGTAGTATATATACATTACATACTGGTCAGTAGATCAGAGACATAACATGTAGTATATATACATTACATACTGGTCAGTAGATCAGAGACATAACATGTAGTATATATACATTACATACTGGTCAGTAGATCAGAGACATAACATGTAGTATATATACATTACATACTGGTCAGTAGATCAGAGACATAACATGTAGTATATATACATTACATACTGGTCAGTAGATCAGAGACATAACATGTAGTATATATACATTACATACTGGTCAGTAGATCAGAGACATAACATGTAGTATATATACATTACATACTGGTCAGTAGATCAGAGACATAACATGTAGTATATATACATTACATACTGGTCAGTAGATCAGAGACATAACATGTAGTATATATACATTACATACTGGTCAGTAGATCAGAGACATAACATGTAGTATATATACATTACATACTGGTCAGTAGATCAGAGACATAACATGTAGTATATATACATTACATACTGGTCAGTAGATCAGAGACATAACATGTAGTATATATACATTACATACTGGTCAGTAGATCAGAGACATAACATGTAGTATATATACATTACATACTGGTCAGTAGATCAGAGACATAACATGTAGTATATATACATTACATACTGGTCAGTAGATCAGAGACATAACATGTAGTATATATACATTACATACTGGTCAGTAGATCAGAGACATAACATGTAGTATATATACATTACATACTGGTCAGTAGATCAGAGACATAACATGTAGTATATATACATTACATACTGGTCAGTAGATCAGAGACATAACATGTAGTATATATACATTACATACTGGTCAGTAGATCAGAGACATAACATGTAGTATATATACATTACATACTGGTCAGTAGATCAGAGACATAATATGTGGTATATATACATTACATACTGGTCAGTAGATCAGAGACATAACATGTAGTATATATACATTACGCACTGGTCAGTAGATGACAAGACATAACATGTAGTATATATACATTACATACTGGTCAGTAGATGAGAGACCTAACATATGGTGTATATATACGTTACATACTGGTCAGTAGATCAGAGACCTAACATATGGTATATATATATATGTTACATACTGGTCAGTAGATCAGAGTTGCAGAAAACCAAAAAACATCACCCCTCTGGTTGGAGATTTCTCTGTCATACCCTCAAGGTAGGGTAAGATTCTATTTGTCTCCTTACAAAAGACAAAAAAGGCAAAAATAAAACGACAGCAAAAGCTTCGCTGTATACAGTACATAAATGAAGTTTAATCAATTTTTAACAAAACAAAAGGCCCAGAGGGCCTGTATCGCTCACCTGGATACCTAAGCAATCATGGCAAACTATTCTCCAAATGAGATCAAGGGAATATGCCAGACCACAAGGCCAATCCTTGTAGCATAGCTATATTAGATTTTTCATGCCCAGCAATTTTATGTATGGTTATGGGGTGGGGATCTCAACTGTTTCCAAGCTTTAACTCAGAAACTAGGTCCCTAGAGTTGTGGCAAGACCCAAGGTTCGATTCTAATATCGTGACTGCATTTGTCTCTTTTTACCAAGCATTTGTATATATAGTTTTGGGGTGGGGAGCTCAACCGTTTCAAAGTTATGACCCAGGGGCCAAGTCTGCAAGGGTGGGGCAGACCCTGGGATTAATTCTAATGTCATGACTGCATTCGTCTCTTTATGCCCAACAATTGTATGTATTAAGTTTTGGGGTGGGGATATCAACCATTTCAAAGTAATGACCCAGGGGTTAAGTCTCCAGGGTGGGGCAGTCCCCAAGGCCAACCTGGAAGCATATGTGCAATCATCTCTTTATACTCAGCAATTGTATATATACGGTTAAAGGGTGGGGCTCTCAACTGTTTCCAAGCTGTGACTAAGAAACTAGGTCCCTAGGGGTTCGGTCAGACCCCAGGGTCTATTCTGATATCATGATTGCATTTGTCTTTTTATGTCCAGCATTTGTATATATAGTTTTGGGGTGGGGATCTCAACCGTTTTAAAGTTATGGCCCAGGGACTATGTCTCCAAGGGTGGGGCCAGACCCTAGTGACATCCTGGAAGCAAATGTGCATTCTTCTCTTTATACTCAGCAATTGTATATATGGTTATATGGTGGGTTTTCAACCATTTCCAAGTAATGCATTTTGTTGGCCCCACCCCTTAGCCCGAGGGGTCAGCCCCACCATTTCCATGCCTCCCATAAATACTTCCGACCAAATATGATCAATATCCATGGCCCAGTTCTGCAGAAGAAGTCATTTAAAGCAATATAACCTTACTGCCCCCTTTTGGCCCCGCCCCTCAGCCCCCTGGGGGGTCAGCCCAACCGTTTGTACAATTTTGAATCTCCACCACCTAGAGATGCTTCCAGTCAAATAAGGATGATATCCATCACTTAGTTCCAGAAAAGAAGTCACTTAAAGCAGTATAGCCAAATACACTTTTTGGCCCTGCCCCTCAGCCCCCTGGGGGTCAGCCACACCATTTGTACAATTTTAAATCCCTGCCTACCAGGAATGCTTTTGATCAAATATGATTGATATCCAGTGCATAGTTCCACAGAAGAAGTTGTTTGAAGCAATATAGCCAAATGGCCCCCTTTTGGCCCCCCAACCCTTAGCCCCCTGGGGAGTCAGCCCCACCATTTGTACAATTTTTAATCACCATCCCCTAGGGATGCTTCCAGTCAAATATGGTTGATATCCACTTCTTAGTGTCAGAAAGAAGTTGCTTAAAGCAATATGGGCAAATTGACCCCTTTTGGCCCCGCCCCTCAGCCCCCTGGGGGTCAGCCCCACCATTTGTACAATTTTGAATCCCCACCACCTAGGGATGCTTCCAGTCAAATTTAGTTTAATTCCAACCAGTGGTTAAGAAGAAGTTGTTTAAAGAAATTGTTGACGGACGGACGGACGGACGGACGGACGGATGGACGACGGACGCCACAGTATGGCATAAGCTCCTTCGAACCAGGTGAGCTAAAAACAAATGTACATTTTGAGATGGGCTTTTAATTAAAAAAACAATTGACGTCCGACAAAAAAAAACCATTGTTTTAATATTCAATAATGTATTCTCACAATCAGCAATCACACCCCTTACAATCATGACTATAACCAGTACAAATATCACAATACACTGTTTGGAGGAGAATAACAAAGTTAGTATCAATGCCTACAATGACCTGGGCGGCCGTTGGATTATTTGAACAGTATCGCAATAAACATTTGACAAAATAAGACAGGAGTTTAGACTCAAGAAAACAAAAGAAATGCATGAACAAGGGGTTTTATGCATCTAGAACCTAAATGGTATGTTTTTTTAGTTCATGTATATATCAAAATGTTCCTTGCTATACATACATGTACACTGTAACTGCATATTTTCTGATAGTGATTTAAAGAATTTGGAGAATTGAATTTTCAACCAGGGGGGTATAATTCTTTAAAATCTGGACCTCAGGCTAGACATTTAAGAATTTGACCCCTTGGGTTGAGATTGTTCTGTCTTAAGGCGGAGAAAGATACTATTAGTCTATGGCCAATGGCATACAATACTAAAAATATGAAAACACAAATTATCCCAAACAACGACACACTGCCTGACATTACCTGGTTATATAATCACTGGCCAGGTCTTCACCCAAGATATCTTTACAGTAATTATCTCCCCTGAATTACTGACACCTCCATTCAACAGGTACTTATACACGGTACATTCATGTCTACAATGCTAACATAACAAATATAGCATTCAATATACCTCTCCAATTATTGGTATGTTTCCCGGTGAAGTGGGTCAGAACTTTACTGAGCTGGAGTAAATTAGTTGTAGTTTACATTGATTTCAATGGCATCACGAGGAAAACTTTAAACATAAGACTTTGTGTAGGCCTCCACACCTTTAAAGGGTCGTCCGATACATCGACATGACGTAGTGTGTTATAGGTCTAGAAACTGCAGATACAATGTAACAAGTGTTAATTCATGACTCGCTGACTGTTGGTCAGCTTGACCAGTCTCCATTAATTTACTGAATAAACCCTTGCCCAGGGTGCTAACACATAAAACTCATACAAAAGTGGGAGGGGTTGGCTTGTAACAGGACAATGAAACAGCATTTTATGACATCCCTACTGAAATGAAACAGTAAACGGGTGGACATATTACCAGATGAATGAGCCAACTCGTAAACATAGTCGAGTTCTAGGTCATGTGGCTCAAATCACATAAACAACAATTTACATAAATCTTTCATCTGTTGGTGGTATATACTTACATACCTATGTACATCTGTAGGTGGTATATACTTATATACCTATGTACATCTGTTGGTGGTATATACTTATATACCTATGTACATTAAGAAATACTGAAACCCTCCACTAGAATTAATTCAAGAATGTTGTGTTTTAAGGAAAGTTGAAGCACACAAATTTTAAAGCTGTTCCTGTTGATGTGCAGTAGCCTTCAGTTCTGCTGACTTAGTCTCCGCGTCTCATTGCCACCTCATTTCCTCCCTCCTCAGCTTCTGGCCTTCCCCAGTACTTCAGTCATTGCCACTTCATTTCCTCCCTCCTCAGCTTCTGGCCTTCCCCAGTACTTCGGTAATGTTTTCGTTTGTCCAGATATATCTGTTTACACTCTTCCTTGAAGTCTTCATCCCTAAACCTGTTAAATATATACCAATCATAAATTTATAAATATATACCAATCATAAATATATACCAATCATAAATTTATAAATATATACCAATCATAAATCATAAATATATACCAATCATAAATATATACCAATCATAAATTTCTTATATTTAAACAAGTTCAATGAATCAATTCACAATTATACATTTCTTATCTTGAAACCTGAAAAATATATCAATTATATACCAATATACATCCTCCGGCATTCACTATCTGATGAATGTAGTACATGTATTATACTGTAAGTACAACAAATGTTGTATTTACCTCAACTTCAACCCAAACCAAGCATCACAAAATCACAAATGATACTAATCCCCTCACCTGTGGTTAAAGATCATACATTATGTCTCAAAATAGCACTAGCATCCTCCGATAATTTACATAGCACATTTTTTTCATTAAAAAATTACTGGCGCAATATGTCGCATAAGATGTATTTAAAAGTCACATCTGTAATAATGGACACATAATATAGAATAAATTTCATATTTTTATAGAAAGTAATATCTGTTGAAGATTGGTTGAAGTTATACTACTACAACAATTTATATGATTACAATAACATTCTACCGATAGCAACAGTAACACTGACCCTGAATCAAACTTAAGATTTTCTCATACTCGACCAATAGGCAATATATAAAGTCTGATCAAAATCTGTGCAGGAATGAAGATGCTTGAGCAATGACAGATACATTCTATAAATAGTAACAGTGACCTTGACCTTTATACCATGAAACACCAACTTGTCTTGAGTTATTCTTATACTTGACCAATATATGACGTTTAATAAAAATCCTTTCAGAAATGTTATCGCTACAGAGAATTTGATAAATTCGCCCTCATTGGGGAATTTCCTGTAACACAGTAATATCATACTTTATCAATAAATGCAGTTTGACCAAAATTATTTCAGAAATGCTAGATCAAAGTTTTTCTAAGTAAATTGGTAATGGTGACCTTGATCTTTTTATTTGAGAACGGCCAATAACCAAGGCCATTGTTTAAGCTTGTTTATTTTAGCCCGGGCCATCAACATTGATTATTTTGTTTATTTTAGCAACCCCGGGCCATCAACATTGATTATTTTGTTTATTTTAGCACCCCCAGGCCATTTAAGTTGATTATTTTGTTTATTTAAGCACCCCGGGCCATCAACATTGATTATTTTGTTTATTTTAGCACCCCAGGCCATCAACATTGATTATTTTGTTTATTTTAGCAACCCCGGGCCATCAACATTGATTATTTTGTTTATTTCAGCACCCTGGGCCATCAACATTGATTATTTTGTTTATTTTAGCACCCCGGGCCATCAACTTTGATTATTTTGTTTGTTTTAGCACCCCGGGCCATCAACATTGATTATTTTGTTTATTTTAGCACCCCGGGCCATCAACATTGATTATTTTGTTTATTTTAGCACCCCGGGCCATCAACATTGATTATTTTGTTTATTTTAGCACCCCCGGGCCATAAACATTGATTATTTTGTTTATTTTAACACCTCTGGGCCATCAACATTGATAAGTCAACAAATCAACTTATCAAAGATATATCTAGCATAGCACAAGATCAACGTTTGTTAGTATCAGGACAATATAAGGAGCCAAAGGGTGAGAGTATATAATATGCCACTTACCAAGCTTTAACACAGCGTTGCATTGTGTTGTTTTTTTCCCGACATCTGAACATCATCATGAACTCTTCAGCTTTGGCACATTTTTCAAAATCTGACAACACAAGACATTATTATACAATGTAAGACATTATTATACAATGTAAGACATTATTATACAATGTACAAAGTGAAAATGTGTCACCTTACATGAATGATTTTGAGTTTGAGTATGAAAGAATGAATGAAAAAGAAAGAGAGAATGAAGAGAAAGAGGCCTTTTGCATGAGGCTATATTATGTAAGAGGGATGATCCCGGGGCACCCCAACCCTGGCATCCCTCCCAAAGATGCTGGGGGAATAAAACAATTTGAATTTGAACCTAAAAAAAAAAAATTAAAAGAAAAACCCATCTATTCTACTTTACTTTTCCTTCCTGATCATTGCATGGTAGATTATTATGACATTAGTGTTAATTGAACTGATAATTATAAATTGATTTTTGTTGAACTGTCACAGGATTGTTGATGAAAACAAAACTGTGTAAGTAAAACCACTTCACTCCATGAAAAGACAACACCATACAAGACCATAGCAGTCTCAACAGAAGTAAATAATGGTTCAAGTATATTACATGGCTAAAAACCAAATACAAAACAGTGAACCACCATAATGGTGTTGGCACCTGATCACCCTGACTGGCAAACATTGCCATCTGAATATCACTTCTGGCCACCCTTTAGGTTTCAGCATGCTGTATATATGTGTAAGTTACCTATCACTTCGGCCGCCATTTAGGTTTCAGCATGCTGTATATATGTAAGTTACCTATCACTTCAGGGCGACGTTTAGGTTACAGCATGCTGTATATGTGTAAGTTACCTTTCACTTCAGGGCGACATTTAGGTTACAGCATGCTGTATATGTGTAAGTTACCTTTCACTTCAGGGCGACATTTAGGTTACAGCATGCTGTATATGTGTAAGTTACCTATCACTCTGGCCACCACTTAGGTTTCAGCATGCTGTATATGTGTAAGTTACCTATCACTCTGGCCACCACTTAGGTTTCAGCATGCTGTATATGTGTATAAGTTACCTATCACTCTGGCCACCATTTAGGTTTCAGCATGCTGTATATGTTTAAGTTGCCTATCACTCTGGCCACCATTTAGGTTTCAGCATGCTGTATATGTGTAAGTTACCTATCACGTCGGCCACCATTTAGGTTACAGCATGCTGTATATATGTGTAAGTTTCCTATATCTTCGGCCACCATTTAGGTTTCAGCATGCTGTATATATGCGTAAGTTACCTATCACTTCGGCCACCATTTAGTTTACAGCATGCTGTATATATGTGTAAGGTACCTATCACTTAGGCCACCATTTAGGTTTCAGCATGCTGTATAGATGTGTAAGTTACCTATAACTTCGGCCACCATTTAGGTTTCAGCATGCTGTATATTTGTGTAAGTTACCTATCACTTCAGGGCGACATTTAGGTTACAGCATGCTGTATATGTGTAAGTTACCTATCCCTCTGGCCACCATTTAGGTTTCAGCATGCTGTATATGTGTAAGTTACCTATCCCTCTGGCCACCATTTAGGTTTCAGCATGCTGTATATATGTTTAAGTTACCTATCACTTCGGCCACCATTTAGGTTTCAGCGTGCTGTATATATGTGTAAGTTACCTATCACTTCAGCCACCATTTAGGTTTCAGCATGCTGTATATATGTAAGTTACCTATCACTTCAGGGCGACATTTAGGTTTCAGCATGCTGTATATATGTGTAAGGTACCTATCACTTAGGCCACCATTTAGGTTTCAGCATGCTGTATAGATGTGTAAGTTACCTATCACTTCGGCCACCATTTAGGTTTCAGCATGTTGTATATGTGTAAGTTACCTATCACTTCGGCCACCATTTAGGTTACAGCATGCTGTATATATGTGTAAGTTTCCTATATCTTCGGCCACCATTTAGGTTTCAGCATGCTGTATATGTTTAAGTTGCCTATCACTCTGGCCACCATTTAGGTTTCAGCATGCTGTATATGTTTAAGTTGCCTATCACTCTGGCCACCATTTAGGTTTCAGCATGCTGTATATGTGTAAGTTACCTATCCCTCTGGCCACCATTTAGGTTTCAGCATGCTGTATATATGTGTAAGTTACCTATCACTCTGGCCACCATTTAGGTTACAGTATGCTGTATATGTGTGTAAGTTACCTATCACTTCAGGGCGACATTTAGGTTTCAGCATGCTGTATATATGTGTAAGTTACCTATCACTTCGGCCACCATTTAGGTTTCAGCATGCTGTATATATGTAAGTTACCTATCACTTCAGGGCGACATTTAGGTTACAGCATGCTGTATATGTGTAAGTTACCTATCACTTCAGGGCGACATTTAGGTTACAGCATGCTGTATATATGTGTAAGTTACCTATCACTTCAGGGCGACATTTTTCCATCCATGCCTTGTCTCTCATCACCATGGGTATCAAAACCTCTTTTTCAACTTTCCGCAGCGAGGTGTCTTCTGGATCACCTGATAAGAAAATCCACAACAAACTTATTTTCAATATTCAGCAGTGTAGACACAGCAATGAATAATTACACTCAGACTACTACTTAGTACTGATCATCAGTGATCCATCTACAATGTATTTTAATGAGTCCTTTTCAACTGTATTGCTAAAGACAATGAGTCCCACAATGTTAAATTTAACTATTTCCAGAAATTCTGTGAGTCCCATCAAAATTGTATGAGTACAGGACTCGGGACTCCCTTGTAGATTTATCACTGATCATCTTATTTCACCATTACAGTTTTCCATATTCAATTATCACAACTCAAAGCCAATGAGAACCACTTTCCTGATGATGTGATGAAAATCATCACAATAGCGTCTCAAAATCAAGCTGCCAAATAACGAAGTCTATAGTTAGGTAAAAAATGTTCAAATATTCACAATTTTATGTAATATATATATATATATATTCTTTGCTGTTGATGTCAAAATATTGTCGCATAAATTAGGGCTGGATATGGATTATGTAAAATCAATACAACAGAAAATCAGTGTTCAATATACACTAGTGATGCCCTACTAAATTGTAGAATAAGGAAAATGAGAAACTCAAAGTCTATAATTTCTTATTCATGAATTTCCTCATATAGCTTGACAAAATAACCAGTTGCTCTTGAAGCATTGCAATACATATACACTGTTGGTGTATAAAGTAAAACTGTGATGTTCCTCACTCTGTACAATGTGACCTCTGTGCACTCAAAGACATACTCAACATACACTAGGAGATACCTTTCTCTTATTCCACTAATTTTGCTCGTATTCATTACGACTTTTAAATTATATTAGCACATGTTTTATAAGATTAACACATGTTTTATAAGATTAGGAGTGGTGAAGTGATATTACGAGTGGTTCATACCTATTACGAGTGGTTTTGTGATATTACGAGAAGTTATGATTACCTGTGGACACAGAGCCAAATTTTAGCTAGCAGCCAATCTCGACCGCTCGCGGGCATGTTTCATGCTGCGACGGCCATACTAACCTTCTGATTTATAAATAGGAGGTTTGCAATCTTATTGTTCAAAATTAAAGCATACACAAAATTGGGAAGATATAACACTTTAAACTGACATGTTTTAGTTAATTGTTGTCTTGTTGGATGGAGGTTCTGACAACTGTTGTCTTGTTGGGAGGAGGTTCTGACAACTGTTGTCTTGTTGGGAGGAGGTTCTGACAACTGTTGTCTTGTTGGGAGGAGGTTCTGACAACTGTTGTCTTGTTGGGAGGAGGTTCTGACAACTGTTGTCTTGTTGGGAGGAGGTTCTGACAACTGTTGTCTTGTTGGGAGGAGGTTCTGACAACTGTTGTCTTGTTGGGAGGAGGTTCTGACAACTGTTGTCTTGTTGGGAGGAAGTTCTGACAACTGTTGTCTTGTTGGGAGGAGGTTCTGACAACTGTTGTCTTGTTGGGAGGAAGTTCTGACAACTGTTTTCTTGTTGGGAGGAGGTTCTGACAACTGTGGTCTTGTTGGGAGGAAGTTTCGACAACTGTTGTCTTGTTGGGAGGAGGTTCTGACAACTGTTGTCTTGTTTGGAGGAGGTTCTGACAACTGTTGTCTTGTTGGGAAGAGGTTCTGACAACTGTTGTCTTGTTTGGAGGGGGTTCTGACAACTGTTGTCTTGTTTGGAGGAGGTTCTAGCAACTGTTGTCTTGTTTGGAGGAGATTCTGACAACTGTTGTCATGTTGGGAGGAGGTTCTGACAACTGTTGTCTTGATGGGAGGAGGTTCTGACAACTGTTGTCATGTTGGGAGGAGGTTCTGACAACTGTTGTCTTGTTGGGAGGAGGTTCTGACAACAAGTGTTTGGACTGAAAGATGACTCACTCATATGTTTGTTTACATTTCTAGGCTCAGTTAACATCACTGATAAAGATGAAATTCCTCCAAGGATTTAATCTATAAATATATGTTTTGTATATAATTTGACAAGCACATCTCTAACTGACCTGTTTATCATTATGTCCTAAACAGAAATTGACTTATCACTGTACAGTGCACTTAATAAAAAGCATGCAGATCTATTTACTGGATTACAATGTCATTCAGCCAGATTAATAAATGACTAAAGTAAAACAGGGAAACACAGCTTTGAAGGAGAAAGTCATTTTTATAAGTCTGCTCCACCACATCGCAGTTGTTTCTTAAGGGCTCTGAAACCGATGACAAGAGGATATGTTAATGTTAGACTCATTGAAAAAACGGCCTTATCACATGTAATGTCCACTTCAAATAGATGACATCTGTGCTGGGGTCCGTTGACGGTTGAATACATGGTACATATATTAGTGCGCTCTGGCCCCACACCAGACAAATACAATATATCTGTCAAAATGTCTAAGTCTGAAGTCAGGGTCAGAGGAAACTGACTATATCCACTTATTTGTTTACATTTGTCCTATCACTATATGTGCATGGTATACACAGTCAAATCTTCCTAAATAGCCAGATTTACCGGTGCTCCAGTACCTGCTTTTTAGATTGAATCTAGCCTAATTCCGCGATTATACTAACTAATGAAATAAAAATTATATATATCAATACAGGCTTGTGGAAGGAAAATCGGTGTGGATGATGTGAGGTCAAGATATGCATGGCCATACGTGGCCTCTAAACTTATTACTTCAATATGTCACCCTGGCAAAATACTAGCCGCTTCCTACCGACTCGGCTAAGGAGAATTTCTCTTTAGTTCATTCGCTAGAGCGAAACACTAGTAAGCCAGAGACAGGGGTCCCGGGTTCGACTCCTGGCGGAGACATTGAAAAAATAATGACCTATGTTACCAATATTTAAATGTTCCTGTCGAGTGTCCGAATTATATAAAGGTAGAGTTTGCATAGGTTGCGTAAGGCCTGCACTGTGATATTGAGAGCTTTCGGTCAAAGTCAAAACATGTCTGCTGTAATTTGTGGTACTTGGACACCAACCTAAGCCCAACGGTCCAGCAGCAAAGGAAGCTGGGAGGACGGTCCATTCCGTTCTTGGTCGCCAATTTAGCTCGCCTTCTTGGTTATTCTCCACTTGTTCTTTTGTTGGCGGTGGTGCGGGAATGTCATCGCTCGCCATGTTTTCTCTTTCAGTCGCTTACTACATTGAAAATAATATAACTAAACAATGCAAAAACGTATTTATTTCTTTGAAAAGAAGCTTATTCATCGTACAAACATACAATATTGCATTTTTTAAGTCATTAAAGTGACTATGTGAGTTATTTTAAATATACACAAAGATTATATTTGTAGGGATTTAAGCGAAGCACCGGCGCGTTTGATCAGCTAAATCATTTACTAAGGCCGTTTTCGTGTAAACGGTCAAACCGGTCGGACCACTGTTGTTCGTTTATTAAATAAAGGGGGTCGGACCTAGTAATCTTATGCTGCTTTCAGGCAAGCCTTGACAAAGCCTTGCAAGGCCTGCATAAACATTTGCAGGTCCGCCGGGATTTATACCCGAAATTGTTACATTTAATATGAAAAGGCAAAGCCTAAAAAGAGCGTATAGCTTTAATTCAGAATTAGATATACTGCTTTCAGAATGACATAAGATAAACCTTTTTTTAAAGTCGGCTAATCGAGGAATAACAATAAAACATGAGCTCTAATGAGACTTAAGACCGACGTAACAATTATGGGAATTTCGTTTACAGAAAGTTCGCATAACCAGAAGCGAGATTATGATTTTCTTTCTATACCCTCTCAAAAGTTATTTTCTCCTGCTTATTAATTCAGTACATTAGAGTTTGCCTCGCCAATATTTTCGTGTAAAAGCCCAGCCAACTAAACTGCTAAGAGCCTCAAAGTTGTAAATATAAGCTAAAAAACAAAAATATCAGGGGTGGCCGAACTTGCCCCGGTCTCCCGTATGGAGACTTTTTGTATCATAGATGATTAGACAAAAATGTATTAACTATATAATCTTTGCAGTAATGATGCCGTTTTTTTCCAGTCAAAGCTAAAAAGGAGATATTTGTTCTTGTGCGTAACGTATATGATGGGTTGGGTGGCGCAGTGGATAGCGCGCTCGTCTTCACCAAGATGACCGCGGATTCAATCCCGGTCATCTGCCCAACCACGCAGGTTTTCTCCGGTTACTCTGGCTTCCTTATTCATTAAGAATTAAATCCTCTGCACGTTTCCGTCAGGGCACAAAAAAGAATTAAATCCTCTGCACGTTTCCGTCAGGGCACAAAAAGAATCATCAAGATAAGTTGGGAAAAAATGTTTGGCAGTTGCTTTAGAAACAAGTGCATATTATATTTTTAACGATAAGTCTAAGTAAATGTATTGAGATGTAAGTTAAAAAAAAAAAAAAAAAAAAACATTGTTATATTTTTATGTAATGTTGAGATTGTCGTTATATCGATATGCAGTCTCAATTTCTGTTCCATCCTGAAACACCGGATTGAATTTCACATTTTGTTACTATCATCGAGGTTTGACAGGTAAGGATATGCCAAATAAAATTAAACAGTTTCTGTCTGTAACTAGTTATAAATCGGCATGTGTTGTGAAAAAGTAATACGTTGCTAAAAAAGGGCTCTGAATTCGGGATGATTGTCTTGAAAATTATTGTTGATTTCGACATGTAACCCTGGGTTGTATAATATGATATATATATATATATATATATAGTGTGTGTATATATATATACAACGAGTGCTGTCAACTGTCTGTATACACGTGTGTTGTCCAGTCTCGTAAACAGTGTATGTGACGTCATCAGTTCGGAATGCATGTACCTGTGTTGTCATTTTCTGTTTCAACATTCTGACTGAATTGTACTTACGACGTAGACCTTGGACCTGCCCCTTGTACGAATAAAGCACTCTATATTCCCGCCACTATATTCTGACTACTGGGCATATGCTTACTGCCCAGTGGTCATTCTTACAATCCGACTCGTGAGAGACGGATCAGATTACGGATAGAGCTGAGCCATTGAGTATATATAGAGAGAGGGCGTACAGATACATTGCCGCCAGCATGTATTAGCAGGCTAGGGACATCATACCCGGTTTCTAGGAGAGCATGAAGGAAAGATAAACACTTAAAACAACTTGTCAGAGTTATTGTTATACTGAGCAACCGGTGACAGACATAAATGCATTATCCATTGTTTGTTTGATGAGTGGTGGTGATGCATACATAAATTATGTAAAGACTATTACCAGACTTTCAAAGTTGTTAATTAATTCGTTGATATTCTCAACAAATGGAAATCAAAAGCTGATGGAATTTTAGACGATGGAAAAAATAAATGTACACGTTGACCTATTGGTTTAATGCCGGCTCTTTTTGAAGATATCTCCCGGTAGAAAAATTAGCAGAGCCTGGTTGATAACAAAAAGGATCTTCAGAAAATATCTGCATTTTTACTTGTTGTGCCTGTGGCAAGAAGAGAAGTAAAAAAAGTCATGAAGCACCGACAAAGAGATAAATGCAACGGACATCAGTTCCAAGATCTTAAAAATTTGATCTGTGCGACGGACATCTCGTCAACTTAACTCATTAATCTGAGGCCTATTGGTTGTGATTTAGTGTAAATGCATAACATACAAATTAAAAATACCGATATCTCAATGGTAATTGCAGTTTTATGCTCGACTGAGCCGTCAATGCAAGTAAATTGTTTTTTTGCAAGTGTACTTTGGGACATACAATGTACTGACGACCCAATGCTTGTTAATGGAAATGGCGCTCGGAAAGATTTGATAATTCATTTTCCATCTTCATGCAATGTGTATAGTTTAGAAGGTATTGTTTGCGTCTGTCATTCAGCCATCTAACGACACTTTAATTAAAACACCATCTAGGAATGTTCTAGATTTATATTTGAAAAGAATTTGTTGTCGGCCTGAAAGCAATGTTGTACAATCGCATGCTGGCTGTACGTAGAGACCGACGGTTACAAAAGAATGATTTTACGTGAAAAATAAGTACTTTTACAGCACCTGGGACAGTGTTGAATAAAGTTTCAAGCCCAAATATCGTTTTAACTTTTCAGATATTTTCTGTCGACGTGCAAGACGATCGGAGATGTACATGTGACAAATTATCTAAAGGGGGGACTATGTTAGGGACTATGTTATTACTAAGCTTTTGAACTAATAGCGTTAGTGTTTGAAGTTCAACACTCGATACCTGACAAAGGATTCAAATGCATTTTTTGGTGATTTTGGTGGCATATAAGAGCGCTACAGGCGTCTGCTTTAGACAACCGTAAGTTTACAAGCCAACCGGTGAAATGGGACGGGAACACCCCCTGACATTTGACCCCATATCAATCCGCCATTTTAAAATCTACTAAAACTATTCATTTTTCTAAAGTTCAATATCTGTAGATTTTATTCAATGTAAAATATGTCAACAATTTACCTATTTAAGTTACTCAGTAGCACTGTATAAACCCAGAACAAATTTTAAATGGGGATTACAATCGTTTAAGCTTAATAATCAAACCTAATTTTACATGTCATGCCCTACTTTTGGTGAATTAATCATTAATTATTATAAATGTATATATTTAAAAACAATTCTTTAGAAGAAACTTTAAATCTAAGAGCATTTTCCTCTCCTGTTACACAAATGAGCCTACTCAATACACTCAACACTGCATACTAAGAAACTTTCTTCTGGGGGTTTTAAGATTTTAAATGGTATTTCCACATCTCTTTTTACAAAACCTTAATTATGGAGAGGAAGGATTTGTTTACAACTTTAGAAACAACCACCTGGTAAGGATTCCAAATGTGAACGCATCCACCAATGGTAACAGATGATTTCGTATGAGGCCTCCCGGGTGTGGAACAGCTTGCCAAAAAATGAACTTAGGTTAACTGAGAATTACAAGTCGTTTCGTGGGCTGATCCTTACCTGGGATGGCCAGGTCTGCGTATGTACCAGAGAGTGTCAGTTATCCCCTTAGCGATTCTTTCCACCAAGTTTTACACCTATTCGAGTTTAATACATGTATGCTAGGAGTTTCTTGTCTCTTTACGGGGAAAATTGTTACACCTTTTAATATCATGTATGTCGTGCATGCTTTATGCGCTTCCTGTTTTTAATCATCGTAAATTTGAAATGTCATGCAGCACATTTTAATAAAATGCTTTTAACATAAGTTAATATATCTGCTAAACTGTATTGGCAACTTACATAATTGTCCCTATTTTAAATCACGCTATATCCTGTATTTTCACGCTTTGCTGTTATAGAATATACGGATATCGTGCTTTTACCCGTAGTTAGAAATACTTACAAGTATTCAGTATTTAAATCTTGTGTTTTATAAATTTATAAATTTCTAATGCTACCTTTCTGTGATTATGTATGTGCTGCTTTGCTTGTGTACTTTGTTTTACCTGTTAAATTGTCCCTGAGATAATTGTTTGTCATTTAACTGGTCTTTGTAAATACCAGCATGTGATTGTTATTACAACTTATGTTTGTCGCAAGAATAGCATTACAGTGCTCAAGTTTTATTGTTTTAAATATGCGACGTTGAATAAAAAATCTTTTTTTTTGAACCCATACAACTGTCAGCTTCTTAATAGAACTAGTGTAGGCCACATGTCCGACCTCCATGAGGAATCCCTCCATGCTTCCATCCTTGACAACACGAATGAGTAAGGTAAGCCTTTAAACTTGTTATATATTTTGGACATCTCATAAACGCACCGTAATTTTAGAGTTATTTATTTATTTTCAAGTTTAACAGGGTCACCGCGAAGTGGTACATATTACGCCCTTCACATGTTGAATCAGTAGTTTGCATCATTGAAAATTATGAAATATTTGTGAGTTTCTTTTATGTCAAAGGAGAAGTGATCGAGTGCAATAAAACACATCGGAATGCATGTAGGATTGCATTGATAAACCAAGGGGGAATAACTCTATAAATCATGGTCAGATAATTCATAAAGTACAGCTGGATAATGGTGACTAACCTTTCCATGAAGTTTGAAGTTAATTGAAATTATTTGAAATAGCAATCGGACACTATTTGATTTATTGATTAAAGGTGCTTGAGATAGCGAGTAGACACTATTTGATTAATTAAAGGGGCTTGAGATATAGCAAGCAGACATTGTTTCATTAATTGATTAAAGGGGCATTACTCAGTAAATTACGGTCACATGGTGGGGGTTATAAAATAGCAGAGCCCACACTGGCTGAGCTAAAGCGGTCATGATGGCTAGCAGACAAACAAAAAAGAAGAGTTCGCCAAGGGGGAGATAACCAAGAAACTCCTGCCAATAGCTAAGCATTGTTCAATACGATAAAATTCAATTCATTCTAAATTATCAAATTATTCAACCCAGCTATCATGGAAATTAAACTTCCCATGAGGTTTGAAGTTAATTAAAATTACTTGAGATAGCAAGCGGACACTTTTTCATTAATTGAACAAAGGGTCTTGAGATAGCGAGCAGACATTGTTTTATTAATTGATTAAACTCAGTAAGTTACAGTCACATGATGGGGATTATAAAACTTGTCCTAGAACTCGTGGTAATTAGCCATCCTATGAAGTTTGAAATGTATTGATCGAAAATTGCTCGAGATATCGAGCGGAAAATGTTTCAGAAATTAATTAAAGGGGTATAACTCAGTGAGTAAATTACAGTCGGATAACTTGCGCGTCCCGTCTTTCGATGGACGTATAAAATAGTAAATGACCGGATTACAGGCGGATAGATTGATGGATAGCGTGATAACAAAATATGCATCTCATCTGGTGCCCAGCGAATAATAATGCATCATAACATTCTGATCCGTTGTCAAAAGGGATCAGTTTCCAACGGGTTGATTGGTTTAACAGACCAGAAACTCAGGTTCCATTTTCAACATATCTGGGTTCATGTCTTCCGTTGAACTGGTCCCGATTTCACTATCACTGTAGTTCTACATTCCGAATTACAGGTTCGGTGTAAGTTTGTGAGTTTGATACTTGAAAAAAAATGTATATAACGCCGAATAAACAAGAAGCAAGTATAAAATGTTGTAATTCAGACGAAAAGAACATTAAAATCAGTATAGTGCTGAAAAAAATATTTTATATATTGTAACAGCGACCTTAACACTAGATCGACGACGATCTAAACTGAATGCTAGAATAATTCCATTCACATCAAAATATTATCTGGAGTCAGTGGAGCGGACCGGTAACAAATATTGTCTATTTAAAGTAACAGTGACCTTAGATTCGTGACCTCGAAACGCGAAATCGTTCGAGGTACTATTGCATAAAAAATATATAATGATTTGTTGCAATAAAATGAAAAGTAAACTGATGGATGGACAGACATTGATAAGTATATAAATCCCGTCCATTTTATTATGGGACAAAATTACAAACAGTTTTTACACGAATGTAAAACATGCATGGCATGTAAGGAGGCGTACAAGTATGACCTTAAGAGATAATGGTTTACACATTGTTGAAAGACGATTCCAATAAGGGTTCAGGGCTTTATGGCTCTCACGACGGCGCCTGCAGCAATCCCCAGGAGTTCCAGAAAGAAACCAAGTAAGTGACTGCCTATCCAACGAACACCGCTGTACAACGTCTGTGTGAATGATCTTTTCGTGAATTTCCATTCAATGTTACCCTCATATCTCTGTAACATTATTATTTTATTGTCACAGTTGCCGGCTGTCAGTGTTATGGTAGTATGGTCAAGATACATCGCCAGCTCACAGTTCTCCATGGTTCGGTTGAGTTCCTGGGTAGCCAGACTTTGAGCCTCTCGCCCCATGGCTTTTTCTGACGGGGTAAGACGGTGGGCGTTTATACGAAGTACGTAATTGATGGAATGATCATCAATTATGTTACATGTATATCTCAGGTGCGATCCAAGAGGGTCCTGATTTCCCTGAAAACAAAGTCATAAAGAGTGCATTGATATAATAATATTAATACAGTCAAATCAGTCAAAATAATAACCTCTTTACACACAAAATGCTAAATATATCTCTGATTTGATAATATACTGATATGTGACTTCGAGACTGGAATATCAAGATTGCCTTTAAAACGAAGAAGACATATGTTTAAGTGTAAGAGAGCTTATAAGGTAACAATGTTACGACTGCCAATATAAACCAATGTACCTGTACTGATGGGTCGCGTCTTTGGGTGGAGTTCGAATTGCCCATTATTATCGTCGTGTTCTGTAAATATAAACAAAGATTTATACAGTTATATACTCCGGTCCTCTACTGATATGTGGCACTTTCTATTGATTTTCTGTCTACCTAAATGGTGAATAGCGAGGCAACATCCCGATTTTGGTTTATCATAACGTTTTTCTGAATAAATCTCTATAGAAACTTATATCATCGAGTATATCTCTTATTTTCATGCTCGAACATTAACTGCAATTAATTAATGTTAATTATTTTAATTGTCTTTAATGATCAAATTAAGAATTACTGATATAAATACGCTGAGAACCTGTTGTAATGGTACAATCGTACCCTGTTTAGTGTCTTTGATAAGCCATGTATGTACCGTATAATATGTTATTGTTGATAAGCAGACCAAAGACAAGAACGAAAAATCCAATGACCAGCGTCAGAGATAGAGAACACGTAATCAGTATGTCAGTGACTATGACAAGCGTCAGAGAAAGAGGACACGTGATCAGTATGTCAGTGACAATGACCAGCGACAGCGATAGAGAACACGTAATCCGTATGCCAGTGACAATGACCAGTGTCAGAGATAGAGAACACGTAATCAGTATGTCAGTTACAATGACCAGCGTCAGAGATAGAGAAAACGTAATCAGTATGTCAGTGACAATGACTAGCGTCAGATATAGATAACACGTAATCAGTATGTCAGTGACGATAACCAGCGTCAGAGATAGAGGACACGTAATCTGTATGTCAGTGACAATAACCAGCGTCAGAGATAGATAACACGTAATCAGTATGTCAGTGACTATGACAAGCGTCAGAGAAAGAGGACACGTGATCAGTATGTCAGTGACAATGACCAGTGTCAGAGATAGAGAACACGTAATCAGTATGTCAGTGACAATGACCAGCGACAGCGATAGAGAACACGTAATCCGTATGTCAGTGACAATGACCAGTGTCAGAGATAGAGAACACGTAATAAGTATGTCAGTGACAATGACTAGCGTCAGCGATAGAGAACACGTAATCCGTATCTCAGTGACAATGACCAGTGTCAGAGATAGAGAACACGTCATCAGTATGTCAGTGACAATGACCAGCGTCAGCGATAGAGAACACGTAATCCGTATGCCAGTGACAATGACCAGTGTCAGAGATAGAGAACACGTAATCAGTATGTCAATGACGATGACCAGCGTCAGAGATAGAGTACACGTGATCAGTATGTCAGTGACAATGACCAGCGTCAGAGATAGAGAATACGTAATCGGTATGTCGGTGACTATGACCAGCGTCAACGATAGAGAACATGTAATCAGTATGTCAGTGACAATGACCAGTAACAGAGAACACGTAATCAGTATGTCAGTGGCAATGACCAGCGTCAGAGATAGAGAATACGTAATCAGTATGTCAGTGACAATGACCAGCGTCAGAGAAAGAGACAACGTAAGAAGTATGTCAGTGACAATGACCAGCGTCAGAGATAGAGAACATGTAATCAGTATGTCAGTGACAATAACCAGCGTCAGAGATAGAGAACACGTAATCAGTATGTCAGTGACGATGACCAGCGTCAGAGAAAGAGAACACGTAATCAGTATGTCAGTGACAATGACCAGCGTCAGAGATAGAGAACACGTAATCAGTATGTCAGTGACAATGACCAGCGTCAGAGATAGAGAACACGTAATCAGTATGTCAGTGACAATGACCAGCGTCAGAGATAGAGAACACGTAATCAGTATGTCAGTGACAATGACCAGCGTCAGAGATAGAGAACACGTAATCAGTATGTCAGTGACAATGACCAGCGTCAGAGATAGAGAATACGTAATCAGTATGTCAGTGACAATGACCAGCGTCAGCGACAGAGATCACGTAATCAGTATGTCAGTGACAATGACCAGCGTCAGCGATAAAGAACACGTCATCAGTATGTCAGTGACAATGACCAGCGTCAGATAAAGAGACAACGTAATAAGTATGTCAGTGACAATGACTAGCGTCAGAGATAGATAACACGTAATCAGTATGTCAGTGACGATGACCAGTAACAGAGAACACGTAATCAGTATGTCAGTGCCAATGACCAGCGTCAGAAATTGAGGACACGTAATCAGTATGTCAGTGACGATGACCAGCGTCAGAGATAGAGGACACGTAATCAGTATGTCAGTGACGATGACCAGCGTCAGAGATAGAGGACACGTAATCAGTATGTCAGTGACAATAACCAGCGTCAGAAATAGAGGACACGTAATCAGTATGTCAGTGACGATGACCAGCGTCAGAGATAGAGAACACGTAATCAGTATGCCAGTGACAATGACCAGCGTCAGAGATAGCGGACACGTAATCAGTATGTCAGTGACAATGACCAGTAACAGAGAACACGTAATCAATATGTCAGTGACAATGACCAGCGTCAGAGATAGAGAACACGTAATCAGTATGTCAGTGACAATAACCAGCGTCAGAGATAGAGGACACGTACTCAAAATGTCAGTGGCAATGACCAGTAACAGAGAACATGTAATCAATATGTCAGTGACAATGACCAGCGTCAGAGATAGAGAA